TCATTGTTGTTTGGCGGGCCCGGGCTGGGGATTCGAACCCGCCACCTTAGGTGTATGTGGCTGGCACCTTAGCCGCTTGAGCCACAGGCGCCGAGCCAGCCAAGAGTATTCTTAATAGAGGAAGAAGGGGCATATAATTTTACATAAGAACTAATGAAATACCTTATTTTTATTATAGTTGTAATCCAGTCTTCTGGTGGTTTAAGCAAAGATGATATTGAAAATATGGTTAAAAATGCGGAGAAGTATGCTGAAGAAGACCGAAGAAAGAAAGTAATTATTTTTTGTCTTCTGTGATTCTTAGTAAAGCTGAGACATGAAAGTGGGAGTTTGGACATATCAAAGGTTGGAGGTCAGAGAAAATAATGCGATTAGTCTGTTCTTTCTCCCTTACTCATAATTTAGTTGTGGAATGAATTACATCCGAGATCCTTCAGCCCGCCTAGGACATTTATCCGGCCTGCTGGGTATTTTTGCCGACACTGCCTATCCTGATTAGCAGCATACTCATCCCAGGGCCTGCAGTCTGGCCCTCCAACTGTCTGAGGGACAGTGAACTGGCCCCCTGTTTAAAAAGTTTGCGGACCCCTTCCTTAGACCAGAATGATTTCTCTCTCCACTCTATTTTTATCCTGTAACTGTGTAGCAGATAGTTCATCTTGCTCAGTATAGACATTTACCAGACTTTGGTTCACTTATGATAAACTTGTAACTTCTCTAAGGAACGAGTTGAAGCAGTTAATATGGCTGAAGGAATCATTCATGACACAGAAACCAAGATGGAAGAATTCAAGGACCAATTGCCTGCTGACGAGGTGAATTTTCATTTACAATAACTTAAAAGAGGTTGCATGTGTTGTCACCAATGTCGGTGTAGTTCATTCTGTGGATTCTTCTGTGGTTCTTGATAAGAGTTTTATATCTTCAGAAGTTTTTGAATAGTACTTCTACATGTAATGGCACAGGAAACTTGGAAAAATAAAGATTTTTTTCTTTTTTTAAGTGCAACAAGCTAAAAGAAGAGATTTCCAAAATGAGGGAGCTCCTGGCTAGAAAAGACAGTGAAACAGGAGAAAACATCAGGCAGGCAGCATCTTCCCTTCAACAGGCATCATTGAAGCTCTTCGAAATGGCATACAAAAAGGTACAAGGGCTAAAGGGTGTTTTTTGATCCTAACTTGATTTTGTAATCTGTTCTTAATTACTGTCAACTGGTGGTTCCCTCTACAGCCATTTGTGGAATTGAAGAGTATTGGAGTTAGAAATATCCTCCTGCCTTCTTGACTGTATTCTTAGAAGTAAGGATAGTGTCAAAGGGAAAGAATCACAAAAACCACCAATAGGGCATGGGGGTAGGAGAATGAATGGAGGTGCAGTATGAGGAATATGTGGGTCCTTCACTTTTTAGTTTAACAGAGCAAACATTAAATCTGAGTGGCTCTCAAATGTTTTCTTAACAGATGGCATCTGAGCGAGAAGGCTCTGGAAGTTCTGGCACTGGGGAACAAAAGGAAGATCAAAAGGAGGAGAAACAGTAGTGAATTTTGGAGCCAAAAAGAGAACATATGAAGCTTGGGAGTGAAGAGACTTCCTGAGCAGAAATGGGCAAACTTCAGTCTTTTTACTGTGTTTTTGCAGTATTCTATATATAATTTCCTTAATTTGTAACTTTAGTGACTGTTAGCAAATGATCGTTTAATGGGCAGTAATTCCAACAGTACGAAGTTCACAATGTTCTGTCCCTAGTCTGTCATTTTTCAGCTGCATGTAGAAGAGGGTAGGACACTTTCATTATAAAGATCTAACATTGTTTTGTGCTGAAGCGGCCATATTTTCAAGGGTTGAAACCATCTCACACAACCATGAAGGTAGCCATAGACTGGGAATGAGATCTTTTTCTAGCCAAGTACTGCTGTACTGGCATTTGTGTAAAAGGGTCCTTCACCTGAGGCCTTGTAAGGCAAGCCAGCTGTGCCATGTTTGTAAGATTGGGTAGAAGAAGCTATAACAATGGAAAACTCGTAAGCTATTTATGTTAGTTAGGTACAGTTGTGAAAGGTAATAATGGGGCTCCCTAACTTTCCTGAGTCATACTTTTCTAGCTACTTTCTGGCTCTTGTCTGGCTATATCCTTGACAATTACTCTTTGATCCATTCTGGATTTTTTAAAAAATAAATATGAAAAGCAATTTGATCTCATTTGTGAGGGGTGAGCCCCTGAGAGTTAGCTTCAGGAATACAATATGACTTATGCTTACTATATTTCCCACAGGCAGAAATACAGGATTTTCTAGAACTGGCTAAAAATGTAAGAGTCAAATTTGCCCTGAGCAAAAATTTCTGGGTTCTGTTAGAAAGGAGGGAGAAGAGCTGCTAGGTAGCCATAACTCCTGTTCAGCTGCCCTCATTGATAGAACGCTGGTAGATACCAGTAAACCTGATGGTAGTATGACTTAGCCTTAAAAGGTATATTAGAATCCCCAGAGAAACAAAACCACAGAATATGCAGGGTGGACATAAAGTTCGTAAGCAATGTACTATGTCCACCTTGTATGTCCAGAATGATTTACTATGAGGAATTTAGAGGCTAAATCTCACAATCTGAACTGATGCCCCAGGAAAGCTGCTGCTAAAAAATTCCAGTCACCAGGAATGCTAAACGTGTAAATCTTAGTCCAGGTTTAGGAGATGACAGATGTCTTGGTTTAAATGAGCAGAGAATTCCAGCCTCCTCCTGCCTGCTTATTTTTGTTTGGACCTTTTAACTGTTTGGATGATGCCTACACACGGGCATGGGAAAGAGCAATGTTTTCTGGACACACACCCAGGAATGTTTAACCACCTACTTGGCGGCATCTTATATCCAAAACAGATAAAACTATCACAAAACGCAAAGAAAAAATTGATTTGGTTTTATTCTTCAGTAAAGTCTTCCTTTTTTCGTTATATTTGCTTGATTGGGTCCCAAAAGGGTCTGATTTCCTTCTATTCACAAGGTCTTTCAGGTTCAAAGTAAATGTACCCCATGGTTGTTTAAAACAAATCTGAGGGTCAACAAATCTTAGCTTGTGAAGTACACCCAGAATTATAATCTCCCTTCCTACTACTTGGGTTATTTTTAGATTTAACTGGTCTTTCCTACTTAGGCCTTTTCTTACAATAAGTTGTCACTCCTCTGCTCAAAGTTCTTCCTAAAGGCCAACAGGTTCATGTGATCTGGCCCCGTCTCTTCCTTTCTCCGAGGTTTGTTTTTTTTCTTTTTCTTTTTTGAGACAAGAGTCTCAGGCTGTCACCCTGGGTAGAGTGCAATGACATCATAGCTCACAGCAACCTCCAACTTGGGCTTGGGCTAAAACGATCCTCCTGCCTCAGTTTTTCTATTTTTAGTAGAGATGGGAGTGTTGCTTTTTGCCCAGGCTAGTCTCGAACTCATGAACTCAAGTAATCCACCTGCCTCAGCCTCCTAGAGTGCTAGGATTATAGGCATGAGTCACCACACCTGGCCCCTTTCTCCCAGTTTTATCTGTGACTTTTGTCCTTGGATAAGGAAGGTATAAAATAGCAGCACCCTCAGGTTCTTGTCATTTCTTTTTTTTACTCCTGAACTCAAGCAATCTTCCCAGCTTAACTTCCCCAAGTGCTAGTAGTAATACAAGCACAAGCCACTGTGCTCTATTTCCTATTCTTAATACCCTATTTTCCCTCTATAGCATTCATTACCATATAATTTGTCCTTCCTCTACTGAAATGTAAGCTCCACAAGACCAGAAACTTATTGTTAATTGCTATTTCCCAGTACCTAAAACAATACCTAGCACATAAACACTCAAATCTTTTGTCAAATCTCTACCACTGTCCAAAAATCAGCACAGTATGCTTTCTCCATAGAGATTAAAGTCACCTTGTTTTTTTAAGTTTATGTATGTTATGTTCATCTGTCAAAATACTAAAGATAACTTAAACCAAGCCTAGACACTAAAGTTAATTGACAAAAGATTAAAAGGTTTTAGTTTGGAAAAGAATGCAAGGACAGGCTGGGTGCGGTGGCTCAGGCCTGTAATCCTAACACCCTGGGAGCCTGAGCTCAGGAGTCTGACACCAGCCTGAGCAAGAGCTAAGATACCATCTCTACTAAAAATAGACAAATTAGCTATGTGTTGTGGGTGCCATAGTCACAGCTACTTGGGCGCCAAGAGTTTGAAGTTGCTGTGAGCTATCAGAATGCCGCAGCATTCAACCCAGAGTCAGAGTGAGACTACCTCAAACAAAAAAGAATAAACAACAGTCTTTTATGCTTCCTAGATACGGAGTACAGTTCTGCTGCAGACTTAACTCTGTGTGATGTATGGGTTATGCTATTAACCCAGATGGATTCTCTTCCCACCAAAGTCTTGCTGTATTGTCCTAGCTAGAGTGCAGCAGTATTACAGCTCACTTCAACCTCAAATTCCTGGGTTAAAGCAATCTACCTTCCTCAGCCATGGTGGGCATTCACCACCATGCCCCTCTAATTTTTCCTATTTTTAGTAGAGATGGTCTCAGTCTTGCTCACTCCTGACCTCAAGTGATCTCCCCATGTCAGCCTCCCAGAGGGCTAGGATTACATGTGTAAGCGATGGCACCCAGCCCACTTTATGAAATTTTCAAACATTTTTAGGAAAGCTATAATGGTACAATGAGCATATACATGTATATATATACCTTATATAATCACCAATTAGCATCTTGCCACAATTGCATGCTTTGCAAGTGCTTTGTTTTGTGCTTGCAGAACATTAGGACTTCACCCTAAATAATCAGCATGCATCTTATTAGAACACAACTATGAAAATCATGAAATTTAACATTGATACGATGACAATAGCCCCTATTAAAATTTCCCTGATTGCCTCAATATCAAAGGGCTTTTTTTATGTAGGATCAAAGCAAATAATTTGTTTACCTAGGAATAGTTTTCCTTTTTGTCAGACCGTTTGTTTATTGACCCTTGGTTTGGATTCACCTTACTATTTCCTTGTGTTTAAAGTCTGGTACACATCAGTAGAACCAGTACATAGATATGTCCTGATCAATACATGGCATATCAATTTATTAACAGTATGAAAGAAATAGAGCAAACATCTTATTTTCCCTGAGAATTGATATGCTGTTTGCTCTATTTCTTTCATACTATTAAGTAATCTGTAAGGGTGGCTTAATTTTTAAGTACACTTACAGTAGAGGTTCTAAAGCAGCAAGGAAGCAGTGGAAATAAAAGCAAAATTCTTAACAGATAGTGTGCATGAGAAGATTGGGCATGAAGAGACAACCCAAATTTTGGAAATAAACCATTTCAAGAAAAGCCCCTTTGGGCCAGGTCCTTGATGGCATTGGCTCACACCTGTAATCCTAGGAACACTCTAGGATGCCAGAACAGGTGGATTACCTGAGCTCAGGAGTTCTGAGACCAGCCTAAGCAAGAGTGAGACCCCCATCTCTACTAAAAATAGAAAAAATTAGCCAACCATGGTGGTGTGTACCTGTAGCCCAGCTACTCAGCTGGAAGAAGGGTCGCTTGAGCCCAAGAATTTAGAGATTGCTGTGAGCTCTCATGCCACAGCACTCTACAAGGACAACATAGTGAGAAGGTCTCAAAAAAGGACTTGGCACCTGTAGCACAGCAGTTATGGCCTCAGCCACATACACCGAGGATGGTGGGTTCAAATCTGGCCTGGGCCAGCTAAACAATGATAACTGCAACAAAAAATAGCCGGGCGTTGTGGCAGGTGCCTATAGTCCCAGCTACTTGGGAGGTTGAGGCAAGAGAATCATTTAAGCCCAAGAGTTGGAGGTTGCTGTGAGGTATGACACTACAGAACTCTACTGAGGGCAACATTGTGAGACACTGTCTCAAAAAAAAAAAGACTTCACCATTTCAGATACCACTGCAAGTCCTTTCTCTTCTCTACTTCTTAGGCTCCTTTGTTAAAAGATGTGTCCTCCCCACTTTCCTGGCCAAAATGACACTCCTAGGAACAAATATGATACATGAACTATAGGGCCACTCACGTTACTCTCTGAATACTATTCCCCTCTACCTCCACTCATTACGAATGTCACCTATATTCCAATATTTAACTTGAATCTGTTAAGAGCTGGGAAAGGTTTGAGATGAAGAAAAATGCCTTCATTCTTCAGAGAATCTGAAGATAAGTTACATATTCTGTTCTGACCATATAATAGTATATGATTTTTATATTACAGGATGTTCCTTAATGCTGAATGGTCATGGCCATATTTAAAAAGCTGCCTCCTTGATGAAGGAACTAGCATCCCTCCCAACTCCACTCTCTAATCTCTTCCACTAGACACCACCCAGTCTTTGCCTCTAATGTACTGATTACAATTCCAAATGCAAAGATAGGGAATTTGGAGTAACTAGGCAAGGAGTATGGGGGGGCTACAGTTAACCTGCCTGGGTCTGCAATATTCTAAGTTTCTAGAATTCAAAGGCTAACAAGCAGCAATCCTACCTGAGATGTCATCATGCTTATAGCAGAGTGAGTCACACAGAATAAAGCCTGTGAGTTGGTGTAGAAAGCTTGTAAAACCTTCAGTGTTAAACTCAAGAAATTTAAGCAGGAAAGGTAGAGCAAGGCAACCTTATATAAAAAGCAGGAACCTGGGGTAAGAAGAATGAAGTAAAGATGCTCTTGGGATACAGATTCCTATTCAGTAAGTAGTGTTTATAACTATTAAAGATAGTGCTACTAAGCACAGTCAATGCACATACATAGAGTGAACACATGCCAAAAATTACAAAATGGAACCTAAGGAATAGATTCCATCTTGAGAAGTCATTTCCTGGAGATGTGCCCCACCAAAGTCTATGCCTCCCACCCTATGAAAATAGGTAATGAGAGACGGGGTGCGGTGGCTCACCCCTGTAATCCTAGCACCCTGGGAGGCCAAGGTGGGTTGATTTGCCTGAGCTCACAGGTTCAAGACCAGCCTGAGCAAGAGTGAGACCTCATCTCTAAAAACAGCTGGGTGCTGTGGCAGACACCTGTGAGATGCCAGCTACTTGTGATGCCGATAGAAGAGAATCGCTGAAGCCCAAGAGTTTGAGGTTGCTGTGAGCTGTGAAACCACAGCATTCTATACCAGGGCAACAAAGTCAGGCGCTGTCTCCAAAAAAAAAAAAGAAGAAAAAAAAAGAAAATAGAGCTTGGTACCTATAACTCAGTGGTTAAGGGAGCCAGCCACATACACCTGGGGTGGCAGGTTCAAACCCAGTCCAGGCCTCCTAAACAACAATGACAAGTGCAACAAGAAAATAGCTGGCATTGTGGCAGGTGCCTGTAGTCCCAGCTACTTGGGAGGCTGAGGCAGGAGAATCGCTTAAGCCAAAGAGTTTGAGGTTGCTGTGAGCTGTGTCACCACAGCACTCTACCAAGACAAAAAAAAATAGTTAATGAGGTCACTGTATGATATAATGTACTGGACATTGAACATGGGAGTTGGAAAGCCATAAACAAGCTCTGTGACAGAGCAAGTCCCCTTCACCTTTCCCATGTATGAAAAGGAGGTGCTATCTTCATCTCCCAAAGTATGCACAAAGTTGATAAAACATACAAGAAAGTATTCAAAGACCATACACATGCAATTACATAATTGACATCACTACTTAATGCCTCATAAGCAATCTCAAGCTTTATAGGCCCAGGATGAAATTCTTAACCATGCTCCCCAATCTGCACCTCACCTTTCCCATCTCAGTAAATGTTAGCATTTCAGTACTCGGAGCCCCATTCTTCCTCATCCACATCAGTCGTCATCCCATCCTATCCATTCTTACCGTAACATATATCATTATCCATTCACTTCCATCTGCACGGTCACTTTAGGCGAAAATCGTCTCTCACATGATACTGAAGAAGCCAAAATGGGTCCCTACACCTTCTCCTGTGCTCTCTCCAATTCAAGCCACAGCTTTAATCATTTTAAGCTATCCATTTGTTCTTAAGAGAAAAAATGTCAAAACTCCTAAGCCTGGCTTTAAAGCCCATACATAATCTCTTCCCTTGCTCTTTCCTCACCACTCTCCCCACGCCTGACCTTGCTCTTACAAGGAACTACACTTTTGTAGTTCCTCAAATGTGCTCTGCTCCCTCTTAAATTCCTACTCATCCTTTGGGTCTCACTTCTGAGTTGGGCCCCGTGTAATACACTCTGAGAATACCTTGAAGTGCTTAAGTATTTGTGCAATAATTTTATTATACAAAAGTTTAAAATTACAAAGGGTTAGAAACCTAATTAGCGATAAGCTCCACCAATGAAGGCACACTGTTGGTTCATCTCTATATCTATAGGAAAACGGGATCTAGCACGCGCGGTCTGGGCTCAAATAAATGAACCCAAATGACGTGAGAAGAGACATAAAATAGCCAACTAAAACACCTAACTCAAAGACTAAGTTCTAACATGTATACATACAGCGCCCATTTTGGTTCAACACTCTCCACAGCTCAGACCCCACCACACATGGCTCAGGCCCCCAGCCCATGGCAGCTCCTGCTTTCACCCTACAAAGTTCAAACGAACCTATCCTAGCACTAGCGCGACAGGGAACATGCCTCTTTGTCCCGGACCACTCAGGACAGGTTCCTAATCCAGACCTCCTGGCCGGGACTCTTAACACTAGTCTATACACCCGTGATGCAAACAGGTTCGAGCATTCCGTCAGCAACGAACCAGCTCAGCGCGACGCACTTCTTTGAGGTTTCTCAAGCACCATTCAACCCGTGTATCGGGGCCGATCACCTAACTTTGCGTTGCAGAGCCTTGGATGTCCGCTCTTTTCCTGGAAGAGGGATGGGAAATACGAAGACCTCAATCCTCGCTCTTTAAGATCAATTCCTATTCGAGCCTGGCGGGGCTCTGAGTAAATTCTCGCGAGAGCCACCGGCTTCCGCCCGCTTCCTAGTCTCGCTTTGCCGGGCCGGAAGAACATTTGTACCTCCCGCCCACGGCCCCTACCTCACAAGGCCGCGCGGCCCCAGCTGCGGCCAATCCGCGGGCTCATTGGAAGCCGCGGTGCGGAGAGCCAATGGAAAGTCGCGGGGTGCGCAGAGCTTCCCTTCACCCGCACCGACCCCCTCCCTTCCGCCCGCCGTCTTCCACTCCGCCCCTGGCGGAGGAAGTGATGTCACAGGCCCCATGTGAGCGGATTGCAACACATGCAGCTGCCTGGAGAGAGGGAGCCGGTGTCCTACGTCAGAGCCGCCGCCGCCGCGGAGCCGCCGCCGGGGAGGAGCAGCCGCTGCCGCCCAGGACTGGGCCCTTAGGTAAGGCACGGGAAGGGAAAGGCTAGCAACCCATGCGGCGGACAGCGCGGGGAGGGGGGAGAGGAGGGCCTCTCGGGGGTGGCGAGGAAGGGGGCCTCTCTGCCCCAGCGGCGGCGCTAACTCTGTGGTCTTGGTGTCTCCGGGCCCCGCCGGGCCGCTCTAGGGAGGAGGAGGCGAGAAGATGGCGGACGACCCCAGTGCTGCCGACAGGAACGTGGAGATCTGGAAGATCAAAAAGCTCATTAAGAGCTTGGAGGCGGCCCGCGGGTGAGCGCCGCGTCCGGCCCCCCCGTGCCCTCTCGGTTCCCGGACCCCTCAGGATGACCGCCCCCGCGCCGCATGGCCGGATGAGGAGAACCAGGCACTGGCCAACTCCCGCCTTCTGGACCTCTGGGTAGTAGCCCCCGACCTAGGGGCGAGGGTCGGCGTGGCTAGCCCGAGAAAGGGGTCTTTTCCCCTCTTGGGGGTAAGGGGTCTGCGTTCCCCAGACTCAGGCCATTCGGCCCCACTTGTGGTAGGCTACCGCTACTTTTGTACCTCTCCCAGGCCCTTAAATCCAGCTCCTCCTGTTCGGGCTCCGGGTGCTGCCACCCGACTCGAGTGCTGTTGGGAGAAAGGGCTCGGCCTTCCTTTCTGAACGCCCGTTCCTGATTTCCTCTATCCTTCTCACTTCACGTTTCTCAACAAGGCCACGTTAAAATGGCTTCTTCCTCCTGGGCTTCTGAGGCCCAGGTAGGTGAAGTTTGGATGGGACAGGAAAGAGAGGTGGCCAGGGACAAACTCGTTCTGACTCCCTCTGATTTCTCTGGGTCTTCCACCTCTCCGAAGATGCCTTTCCTCAAGTCTTCTCATTACTCCGGAGCTTCCTGGTTTTAGCTGTTGAGGACCCCCCTATAAACTGAAAATGACAACGTGTGTGGGATGTAGTTGGCAGGATAGGTTCTGGTTGACGAATTTTTATGTGTATATCCAGGAGAAATGGATTAGTGGTCTGTTTGATATGAGCTGTTAGCAACAGAGTTCCTGTTGGTATTGCTCTGGGACTTTGGGGGCTATCACTGTAGAATTGCCTAATATACTGATGCTTGTTGAAATTGAGAACCCAATTAAGTGGGCTTATGAGCCTTGTAAGTTTTGATAAGAAACTGTAAGTGTGTCGGTTGTGGGAAGAGTAGGCTAGATAAAATTAGCCATATGTGCTTTTTTGTTGTTGTTAATGTTGCTCGTTTAAGGAAGGTGTGCCAGAAGTATTCCTGTTTCCTCACTTTATTACTTTATTTTGTTCCTTTCACGGTTGTAGAAACTTTTTACTTACAGGAAGTGGCCTGAAAAAAAAAAGTGTTTGGAACATTACATACTTGTGTGTCTGAGCATTCTTAGAATAGCAGAGTGGCCTGCCCCAGGCCATGTGGAAAGTTGATTTCAGCACAAGAGTTAGACATTCTGGTTTCTGGGTCAGGTTTGTCACTTATGAGTAGATTTGCAATGATAGGATGACCTTCCCTCCAAGCTCTTCATTATTACTATTCTATGAGATGGGCTATTAATTCTGCTAATGACCCAGGGTTAACAGGCAACATTTGGTATGTTTTTGTCTTAATAAATTAGCAGCAGTTCTGTTTGGAAAGGAATGACACTCCTGAAAGTTTAGCCCTATTCAGTGACTTGGACTTTTGCTCATTCCTTTTTCGGTGTACTGGAGAAACATAATTATAATATGAACTGAAAGTAGCAAATTTTTCTTTAGGTTTTTTTTTTAATTTAATGGAAATTCAGTTCTGTTTAATAATCTTATGGGAACTTATGCCATGTGCTAGAGTGAATTATTATTCTCAAAATGTGAGAATACCATACAGAAAGGGTAATATAGGTCATGACCCATTATGATGCACTACCAGGAGTTAGTCAGGTTCTTTTGTTTCACTAGGATTTTCTGTTGTGTTACTTGAAGACTTCAGTTGAGTAGTGGCATTTATAAATTGTGGTTGTTGGAGTGGTGTTTAAATTTGGATATGATTTGTGGGTTGGTTCTGGTATTAGTTTCATTTGCAGGTAGATGCATACATTATGTTTCCAAAGCAGTCAAATGTAAGAATTTACCACTGTAATTTGTCTATTATCTGAGTGAAGTAACATTGAAAATAACACTGCTTAATAAGTAACAGCATTCCTTTCTACTACTTGATTATGAAAGCTCATTCTTAAATTTGTTCTTAGCCATGTTACCTGAAACTTTTAAACCCCTCTTTAAAGCTTTTGAAGCCTTTACTTCTTTGTTTAGCAAAGTTGAGTAAAGTTTAAAAGCATACTAAAAATGAAGTTCTTAGGCACAACTTGTCTTCCAAGTGATGAAGTTTAGACATTTTAGACAGGATTAAGCTATCTAAAATATCTGGAAAATCTTTCTCTAACAATGTTATTAATAATTGTCCTACTTTGCTTTTAATCGGGATTTGGTTGCATCTTCATCTCATGAAATTTTAAGATTTTTGGCCATCTGTGAGAATTGGTAAGGGAGGCAGAAGTTTCTTAATACATACCAATTTATTTGGGGGAATAGCAAGATTGTGTTTTCATTGCAGAGTTGTGTTAAAGTCAGGCTCTGGACTTTCATAGGTAGTGTGTATAGTGAGAAATGTTTTTTCTTTTTTACCTAATGCTAAAGTATTTTTAGGAGAATTATAAGGGGCTTTAAAGACAAACTGGATACCAGAATGAATCCTTGTATGCTATTGTTTTGGGGCACTCTGTAGGTTTCACAAGAAAACTAAGGTTGTGTTCAAACATGTTTATTAGCAGAAGATAGTGAGACTTAGTGGTGGATTAACATAATTATTTTAGAAATGGAAAAGCACTCATCACTGGTGTAGAATTCTGGGCAGCAGAATCAGGGATTGGTTTGGTTTTAACAATGGTTATTAAAATATGCTAGAACAGGAGTAATTTTGAAATTAAGATGGTCAATATGTGAGTATCTCTTTATATATGACCCCAACACTAATAAATTATATCTGAGTAGAGCAGCTGTATCTTGGCAAAATTATTTATTGAACACTTAGCAACACTTAGTGTTACAGGTTCTTTTCTAAGCAATACATCATTAAGCCATTGAATCTTCACCATAACTGTTACCACCATTTGATAGATAAGGCAACTGAGGTTGAGAGATAGGTAAGTTGTCCAAAGTGTTGCTGAGCAAAAATGTATTAGAGTCCAGGGCTCAAACCCATGTTGTTGTACTGAGTATTGGATGTATCTTATGTTTCAAAAAAAAAAACAAGACTAAATTTCCTTAAAATGGGATCTGAGCTATAACACCCTATTTTATGTTATGTCAGTAGAAGAGCATGTAATACAAGCCAGATTTTACTAATATGGGGGACTTAAACATTCTATTTGTAACCAGCATTATACATAATCTTCTGAGTTGAAAAGTGTTCATAATTATAAAGCTGAATTTTAAGTTGGGTGTGGAGCTTTCCAGTGTGGTTTCAGATAAGCTTGGTTGAACGTTAGTTTGTATGCATTAGTAAAATCACCAAGCAATTCTTTTGGTATACATAGGCTACATGTAAAGTGGGTGGTACTTCTGTTCCTAGTATATTCTCAACAGTTGGCTTATGAGGACAAATGTATACATAAACCAAAACTGGAACAAGGGCTGTGTGAGTGGAACTATGGTTGTGAATATCTTGAAAAAGTAAACTAAAGCAGAAAAACAGACTGGAGTTTTTTCCCCTAGTGTTTTCTGAGCAGGCAGGAGGTAGCCCCAGAAATAGTGTTGGAGGCTTTAGAGTAGCGGTTCTCAGCCTGTGGGTCGCAACCCACAGGAACTGTATTAAAGGGTCGTGGCATTAGGAAGGTCAAGAACCACTGTTTTAGAGTATAAAGGTAATAAAATCATAACTAGAGGCTGGGCACATAATTGTAGCACTTTGGAAGGCCAAGGCAGGAGGTTCATTTGAGGTCAGGTGTTTGAGACCAGCCTGAGCAAGAGCAAGACCCCATTTCTACAAAAAAATAGAAAAGTCAGCCAGGTGTTGTGGCGCATGCTTGTAGTAAGTACCAGCTATGGGTGAAGCTGAGGGCCAGGAGTTTGAGGTTGCATTGAGCTATGATGATGCCACTGCACTCTAACTTAGAAGGAGACCCTGTCTCCAAAAAAAAAAAAAAATCAGAGCCTGTTCTAGCTGAGGACGGTGGTGAATGTGACAAAGGGATGGATAATGTTGATCTCAGTTAAATTGTATCTGTAAAATGTTAGAATACTTTTTTTTAACCTTAATCAGGGAGCCTTGTATATTTCCAATATGGTGAATGCTGGCTCAGATGACTCTCATAGCCTTCATCCCATATTTGAAGATCAGTGTAGCTTGCAGATGCTCATGCTGTGGTCTTAGCAGTTTTGTTTGTGGGGGTTTTTTGTTTGTTTTTGAGACAGTCTTGCTCTGTCATTTGGATTAGAATGCAGTGATGTCATCATAGTTCACTGGAACTTCAACTCTTGGGGTCAGGTGATCCTCTTACCTTAGCCTCGTGAGTATCTGGCAGAGGCATGTACCACCACGCTGGCTTTTTTAAAAATTATGTTGCTCAGGCTGGTCTCCAACTCCTGGCCTCAAGAGATTGCTCCCCAATTACAAGCATGAGTGGTCTTTGGGTTTTTAAAAAATCGTTAAGTTAAAAATAATTTGCAGGGCTCAGGCCTGTAATCCTAGCACCCTGGGAAGCTGAGGCAGGTGGATTGCTTGATCTCAGGCATTTAAGACCAACCTGAGCCAGAGCAAGACCCCATCTCTGGGGTCCTGGATGCTGTCGCAGGAACCTGTACTCCCAGCTACTCAGGAGGCTGAGGCAAGAGAATCACTTGAGCCTGTGAGCTGTGATACCACAGCATTCTACCAAGGGTGATAAAATGAGAAACTGTCAAAAAATAAAAAATAATGGTTATAAACAAATCTACTTATCCAGTTATACCTTTGAATAAAACAACCTCCTTTTATTGTCTCTTTAAAAATAAATAAATAAATAAATAACTTGTCCATTTCTTAACTGTGAAGGAAATAATAATTACTATCTGGTCATACACGACTGTTTTTCCTGCCCCTAAATATAACCATTTTTTAAGAATCTGTACAGAATTCCTCCGGTTATGTTAAATTAAAAATAAATAATTTTATGAGATCATTGAATATGTTAAATTTTTAAAAATCTTACATATAGGTAATATGAGCAGAGTTTTAATTTTTTCTCTTTCTGTATATACT